GTCATATTTCCCCTCATATTTTCTTGCAGTTTGTTTCAAAAACAAACTATTTTCTCTCATATGCATGCATTTTTTCTCTCAATTTATCATATTTCTTCCAAAATTTAGGCTCGAAACATCATGTCACACATTTTGCATTACACCTTTCTTCACTTCTAATTAGTTGGCCCACTTAATGATATTTAAAGAATAATGTCTAAACTCAATGCACCATATTGCAGCACTTCAAAAGTCACTATAGCCTACCCAGGGATTTTATTATCATTATCTTCATAGTTTTATATCCACTGCATCTATCAATTGTCTATGTCTGTCATGTCTGTCTATCTAGTTAACCCCTTTCTCTCTCTCTCTCTCTCTCTCTCTCTCTCTCTCTCTCTCTCTCTCTCTCTCTCTCTCTCTCTCTCTCTCTCTCTCTCTCTCTCTCTCTCTCTCTCTCTCTCTCTCTGCCTCTCTCTCTGCTCTCTCTCTCCTCTCTCTCTCCTCTCTCTCTGCCTCTCTCTCTGTTCCTCCCTCCCTCCCTCCCTCTCTCTCTGTCCCCCTTCCCTCTTTATCCTTCCCTCACCGCCCGCCATTCCCCCCGAAAGCTAACCAGGCCCCACCCCATTGCAGTACTTCAAGACAATCAACACCAGGATCACCATCACCTACCTGGAGACGTGGTCGGGCCGGAACCTGGTGGACCTCGGGAGGAACCAGCCCATCTCGACGTCGCTCATCAACTTCTACAGCTACGTGGGCGAAAGCCTCTTGGACTTCCACAAGGATACCTCGCACTTGATCACGTGAGTGCAAGGGCTCGCTGTTGTTGTTGCTACTGCTGCTACTATAACAACTGCTACTATTAGTAGTAGTAGTATTACTATTACTACTACTACTACTATACTACTATTACTATGACTGTTATTAATATATGTCATTACTAGTATTAATACCGTTATCGCTATCGGTGCAAGGTCAAGATGATGTAACCTTAAGCAAAGCGAATATGAAGTATAGCAAGCATTGAAAAAAGGAAAACAGTTTTTTAAGGAGAGTGAGAGGGAAAGCAACATATAGGAAAAATAGAAATGTAAAAGATTAGTAGAAAGAATTGGAAAGTACGTAAATATATATATATATATATTATATATAATATATATATATATATATATATATATATATATATATGTATATATGTGTATATGTATATATATATATATATATATATATATATATATATATATATATATATATATATATATATAATATATATTACTCTATATTATCTCATTCCTCATGGCGGTCAGGTAGATTCCGTATTTAGATAAATGAAAAAATGCATTCCTACATTTAGTTTTCAACATCATAAGCCTCCCTATTGACACAACTAACATATAAATATAACATACAGAAATACCTGAAATTGACACAAATTGAATAGAATTATACAGAAAAAACTGTATGCATGGAAATGAAAAAAAAATCACAGATCTAAAAATAGAATACACCCATTAAAAACACGAATCAAATGGTGCCAGATGTTGATGTTTTTTTCCCGCCAAGACGAAAAGGACGCCATTTCTCATCTATATGGGCATTATAAAACCGTAACTGCATTATACATTTCTGCTTAAAATTTAAACAGAAGTGACATAATCCTGGAGAGTATTTTTGCTGTTGTTTGTCCTCTTTTATAGCGTTATTTAAAAGTGGGTTCGTGAGGGAAGGAACGAGAAAGAGGTAGGAGGGATGGTGATGATAAGACACTCTTAGCATAATCATAGCGCGTTTGATAATCATGACTTCACTCTGTGCGTAATGGATGCTGTGAGTAATATAGAGTGCAGACTGTAAAGTGAATAGGCCTGCTCGGGATTATGAATATTTAGACTAGGAGGAAGTGTCTTAGTAGAAGAGAAAATGATGGTATATCAAGGGGAGAGAGGGGAAAGAGGGAAAGAGAGAGAGAGAGAGAGGAAAAGGGTAAAACAGAATTACATTCGTGTTTTGGAAATGATGCCCATGCACATAAAAAAATCCATTTAAAAATCCTTGACACGCAGGCTTCTTTGTGTGTGTGGAGTAATACTTAATATTACTTTACATCCATTTTCTCACTCTCCCTTCCATTCTTTTAGAGATTATTTTCAGGACCAGGTTAGGCTACTACACGTGATTTATAGGACCGTCATATGGCGTCTATAATAGAGAATAATGGCTTGCTAAAGGGATCATCAGTGTAAGGGAAAAAAGTGTGAACTTTAAAATGCCCAGACTACCGAAAAATAATCATTCTTCATTCCGAGGTAGCAAACAAATATATAGTGCCAGGGTTATTATCGCCAATTATCATTATTTATTACTCTTTTATGGTAGACGTTGCAGACATCATCACTTAAAGCATTGCATTTTTAAATTTTGAGTCAACTAAAGATGATGTATTCGTAATTTTATTTATTTGATGCTTGTATTACCATTATTATTTATAATGTTTCCCAAATAGTATATCGTACCTCAC